CTGTTTCTCAATATGTCTTCTTCAGCGATCTTGTGTTCTTGTGTTCTCGTGTAACATCATCATCAACCGCCAAAGTTCAGTTCCAAAACTCAAGAGTCGCGTGAAGGTTCCCTGATGTGTTCTTGATGTCAAGGACTCATCGATGCAGACTTGAGGGCAAAAATCACTCGAGAAGTCCCAGAATTCATTGCGACTGGAGGTGGGAAGCACACTATTTTGTATAGATTTATTATTAATGTTCGGAGATATAAATTATTTGTCTCAAGAGTTTCCCTAAATGAGACACTGTAAGTAAACATCACCATGAAAACCTTAATAAAGGTATAAGCACATTGAGGGTTTTTATTTGCTGAAATTTGTATTAAAGCTAGTTTTATTTCTAACATGCAACGTGTATTTGTAAGATTTTATGCATAGTATATATTGTGAAAAGGGGGAAACAATAAATCGTTGTACATATGCTGTTATGTTTAAATAATTTTAAACACGTGAAGGTCATGAGACCATCAGGAAGAACCAGGGATGAATGCAGCATCTCAATTCCTACAGCATGCGTTCTGTGTTCTCGCGTTCTCCTGAGTTTGTTCTTTTGAGGTAACTTGACAAGACCAGTCTCCAAAAGAACACAAATCTGTTCTCTTTGTTCATGGAATTGAGAAACAGCCATGGTTTTGTCATCTGCCATTGCTTGGTCAAGTATTTACACATAGATTGAACTAGAATTTAAAAAAAAAAAAAGCATTTACATCATATCAATGTTTTCACAGAATCATGTTTTTGTGTTTACACAGATGCAATATTGCAGTTGCACTGTATCATTGGAAAAACACACAATCACACATCCCGCAATATTGTTGGAAACACTTTTTTTGTTTGCCATTTTTAAAATTAGCACAATTAGTTCCCCAGATTGTTATTGTTGTGTAAATGGACTGCCAGAACTCATAAAACATTTCAGCAGTGCTGTATTAAAGCCCTGAAAAGAAACAAACACAAAACATTTTTAGTGATTACACCATTGCTACTATCTGTAACTTGCTTACTTATTTACTTAGAGCCGTTTATATTGAAGTTGATATTTAGCCGCACAATGTTGATGTTTCGCAACATCTAATTTTTATGAGGTGGGTCAATGGTCCAACGTTCAAACCTCAACCTGCAGGACCAGGACATACACACGTACACTATACAGACAATTTTAGCTTACCCAATTAACCTATAGTGCGTGTCTTTGGACTTGTGGGGGAAACTGGACCACCCAGAGAAAACCCACGAAAACACGAGGAGAACATGTAAACTCCACATAGAAATACTAACCAAAACTGACACAGCAAGGGTTCGAACCAGCGACCTTCTTGCTGTAAGGTGACAGCGCTACCCACTGCACCACCATGCCGCCCATTATCTGTAACTACTGTATTCTATTACAAACCTTCTCATACAGTACAGAATATTCAGCTAATTTTCAACAAGCAAAAAAGTAAAAACAATTTGCAAACACAATCTGTATTAATCATTCATTCATTTTCTACCGCTTCTCCGGGGCCGGGACACGGGGGCAGCAGTATTAGGAGAGAACCCCAGACTTCCAGAGGCGTTCCCAGGCCAGCCAGATACAGATGGCTGAGCCACCTCAGCTGACTTCTCTCGATGTGGAGGAGCAGCTGCTCTACTACAAGCTCCTCCCAGGTAACAGAGCTCCTCACTCTATCCATAAGGGTGCGCCCTGCCGCCCTACGAAGGAAACTCATTTGGGCTGCTTGTATCCGAGATCTTGTCCTTTTGGTCATGACCCAAAGCTCATGACCATAGGTGAGAGTAGGAACGTAGATTTACCGGTAAATCGAGAGCTTTGCCTTTCGGCTCAGCTCCTTCTTCACCACAACTGGCCGGTACATTGACCACATTACTGCTGCCGCTGCACCAATCAACCTGTCAATCTCACGTTCCATCCTTCCTTTACTCGTGAACAAAATCTCAAGATACTTGAACCTCCACCTGGGGTAAGGACTTTTCTCCAACCTGGAGATGGCAAACCACCTTTTTCCGATGGAGCACCATGGCCTCGGACTTGGAGGTGCTGATTCTCATCCCAGCTGCGTCACACTCAGCAGCAAACCACCCCAGTGCATGCTGAAGGTTCATGATGAAACCAACAGAACAACATCGTCTGTGAACAGAGATGAAATTCTGTGGTCTCCAAACTGGACCCCCTCCAGCCAAAGGCTGTGGATCACAAAAATTATGAACAGAATTGGTAACAGGGAAATAAGTCTGACTTATTTCGGAAATGCAAACCAAACTCCTACTCTGTTCTTACAAGGATGAGATGGCCCTTAACAGAACACCTCTGACCCCATACCGCCAGTGCACCCCCTACAGAATGCCACGAGGGACACTATCGAATGCCTTCTCCAAGTCCACAAAACACATGTGGACTGGTTGGGCTTACTCCCATGAATCCTCGAGCACCCTGGTGAGGGTAAAGAGCTGGTCCAATGTACCACAGTCTCCGATCTATATTATATATACATTTTTATCAATGGTTTGAGTTCAGCCTTTAAAAAAAGTATTTAAGTTAAAAAATAATAAGTCCAAATACTGTGACTTAGATTGCAGCTTTTGTTTTTGCACTAAATGGACCCTTTCCCATTATATAAATTCTGTATTGTGAAACATATGAGTTTAAAACCATCACTGATCTCACAAAGAGCCAAACTATCATTTTCTGCTGTTGTGTTTAATTCAGTATTTAGACAGAAATCTGGCCTTCATTCAAAACATGCTGTTAAATGGAGCTGTGTGGGATATTTGCTCTGAAGATCCATGCAGCACTTTGTCCAATTGGACATCGTACACATAGCAAATCTTCAATGCCAACACAAAAAACTGCACACATTTTGGTGTTCTAAAAACTGTTCGTGCTCATGGGATTACATTTGTTGTGTCTTTACAGGTGCTTAACATCCAGTGCAAATAATCTACGAGTGTCTTTACATTGTGCACTCGGGTAAATGTCAAACTATAAATATTTGACAGTTGCTAAGTAACCTCGGAAACCACCTGCAGTGGTACATGAACGAATTGATTTTAAAATTAGATGCTTAGTTGTCACTGTAAATACACAGATACAACATTTGAATGAAAAAGAAAAGAAAAAAACAGAAATACAAATGCAAATCAAGCAAACATAAAACATCATTAATTAAAAACTATGCATGCTCAAGGACATTGCATCAATCTGAGTTTAAATGACACTCCTAACAGCTGAGCGTCTATAGAAATGCAGAAGTATATTGCAGCAGACAGGATGTACTGGAGAATGGTGCCACGTTGTGGTGAAAATAGGGCATTGCAGCTAAACGACGTTAAGACGATTTATGCTGTGACTTATAAAGTATCCCTAGTTATGTTCCAATATCTAATGAACTGCCTACAAATACATATTAATGCCATTTAGAGGAGCTCTCAATGTTCTGAGATCTATTTATATGATAAGACTACCTTCTGAGAAGCTTTCTTTTGAAAAATTGTTACTGAAGCATCACATTAGGAGGGCAATCCAAACACACGGTACACAGCAAAGCCACACAGGGAAAAAGCTATCCAAAATGGAGGTCAGTTCAAAATAATGAGAACATTGGTTAACATTGGAAACAGGCTCGTTGGAAAAGATGCTTGAGGCAGCACTTCTGCAAACCTGCATTATGTTAGAATTGCATGTGACAGAGGTCAGCCAGTGTGATCAACATCGTTCCAAGAATCACATTAGCAACTGATGCTAAGGGTTGATGTTTTAAGCATTTAGTTTAGTGTGTCATTCAGATGGTGAGAGTAGAATCATAAGGATAACATTTGTGCCATGCCCCAGACAGGAGTGATGTTTAGGGGGCTGAGTTTGACAGAAACCAGTAAGTAGGAACTGTGTGATTAAATCTCAATCCCCTGGCCTCTAAAGGTGCATCAGCATTTGACACTACAAGCTGTATTTTGTGTCCTTGTTAGTGTGCCACCCTTCCAGTACTGGAAACACTAGTTTAAGTCTGTTAAAAGTAAAATTAGAGCCATGACCTAGATGTATGGGGGCCAGCTAATAAAAGGTAGGCCAGATGACAGAAGCTTTTAAGCATTGCTTTTAGTGTGTCTGCCTCCTAAAGTATATCCAAGCCAGGATAATTATTTATATGTACCCCTAAATACATTTCCGGAAATCGTGAAATATGCTCTAGGACTTAAATTTTTTTAGTTTTTGTTTTCCCGAATCCACCAAAGGCGCTGTGTACGGTTTTCAGATTTCAAATTTCTATCATATGTGCCATTCACACCTGCACATCTCGCTTGAATCCACTAGAGGTCGTTAACTAAATGACCGACCCATTCCCCCACCCACTCACTTCCCTAAACCCAACCAACAGTGTTTTCAAAAGCATTGATTGACCCAATCACCGCCTTCACTAAACCCAACTGACAATGTTTTCAAAAGCAATCCAGAAAAAGAAAAGCCCTCAGAGTGGCCTGGTTTTTACCATGTTTTCAGATCTTACCATGTTCTCACCCTATTATTTAATGTAAAATAATCTGCCAATGGGGTAAAAAAAAACAAGATTAATTTGCTCACCCCATTGGCAGATTATTTTGCTTGTTTTCAGGAAAAAACTCACTTAATATTGGCATTTTATTTCTCAAAACAAGACAATATGTTTTGCTTGTCTAGAAAATGCTTCTTGATATAAGAATTTTTAGATATTTAGACGGGAAACAAGACAAAAAATTTAAGCAAGAAAAGCATTTTTTGCAGTGTAGATTTGATCAAGTGGTTATTACCAGATGTCATATTGGACATACAAGAATAACCCATGTTTTTTTGCTCCAAGGTGAAAACCTTACTCAGTGTTTGTGCTGCACAATTCCCCTCACTATAAAACACATTTTATTGGACTGTTCTGCTTTTAATGATTCCAGAAGACTTTTTTATGAAATGAACTCTCTTGAGGACACTATTTTGCACGAGTTTAACTGCATTATATTTCCATTTCTAAAGATGTTCTGTGACTAAAATAATTTTTAATAAATATATCTGTTTAATGAACCTGTTTTGTTCAAATGCACCAATATATATTACCCACATTCTCTGAGAAATAAATAAAAATATTGATTTTCAAAATAGGGTGTACTCAATTATGCTGAGCTCTGTAAATTGGGATTTTAGTTAGCATCTGAGTGTAGGTAAGGAGTAGATTTTGGAACACAAACATTTGTACATCCTGCAAAGTGCAAAGTCATAACGCACAGAGTGACTTGCAAAAAGAAAACTTAAGCTAAAAACTTTCTCCTAGATATTGATTGGGTGACATTTTAAACTAATTCAATTCCTCGCTTCATATTATTATTCCGTAGCCTGTTGAAAAGAGAGAGACACTGTTTTAGACTGGAGTTCCTACAGGTAATCGTGGTAAGCAGAAATATGCCTGGGGGTAAAGATTGATGTCCACCGGGTTGCCGTCAAGCCTGATGTCCTCCAGGGCTTTCCGTATGTAGTTCTTGTCATGGCTGTTGCAGAATGTGTCTTGGGTTATGCTCTGTATGTTGTTGTTCTGAAGGAAATATTAGATTTGCATTACATTTTAATGTATTATTTGGTAGTGATGAGGTGTGCAGGAGCTGTTTTCTACCTGCAGGTGGAGCACTCGCAGGCTCTCGGGTAGGGGTACGGGAATGTAGTCTAACTTGTTGTGTGACAGGTAAAGAAATTGAAGTTCCTTCATTTCCTGCTCAGGAGAAAAATGAACAGAAACATAATTACGTTACATGATCACTTAAAGCTGTGTTTGCAATGTCACTGCATTTAAAAAAGGCAAAAGCAGCATCTTTTCAAAAAGGCTGTTCATTTTTAATCGTAATAATTTTTTTGTGGAAAAACTTATCAGTATACGACAAAATTAGCTCTCAGAAATCTGTTTATATTCCATAAAAGTATATATATTTATACCTACTTTTCGTATCTACACTGTAGGTACAATTTTATACCATTATGAAATGAAAACAGATTGTTTAGAGCAAATTTTGTCTTACTATACTGACAGATTTTCCAACAAAAGGTTCCAAATAAAGGTGTGAATAAAATATACTCTATAAAAATAAATAATAATATCATAACTAGAATTGCTATTATATTATTATTATTTACTAAGCCAATTGCCAAATTCACTGGCTTTCTCTGACTAAAGCTGAATTTCCTGAACCTATGATGATTTGAAAAACAGACAGCTGTTTTGAAAAAAAAAAAAAAAAAAAAAAACTATTTAAATGCTTTATTTACTTGTTCACAGATTAAATACCAACTATGTTAACAAACAAAAATGTTATGGCTAGAGCAATTAATGAATAACAAAGAAAAGGTATCTTTTATCACATTTTTTTGTCCTCTGTCACATCTGTTTAAGACATGGTGCAAAAGTCCAAAACAGATGTTACACAGGTGATAGATTGAATTGGATTTCAAGGGCCTTGTCAATCTTAGTCTTCAACATTAATACAACATTGATTAAAACATTTAATGACGATTAATTTACACAAATTTATATACATGTCCTGTCGGCTTCATACACACTATTTAAATATTATATTTCACACTTAGCTGATGATTGATAATAAAGTGGGTTTGACATGCTGTCCTGGGAGAGAGCCATGAGCTCAAAAAAATTCTTAAGCCCGGGGCTTCCTCCCATTTCATTGGGAGAGAGGGGAGTCTGAGCTCAGGTAGGTCTTGCTATCCTGAATATGTTCTCTCGGTCTATTCTTTGATTATTAGGGGTTGCCATGGCGGAAGAAACTGACAACTATACTAGTATGCGGCTATGTGCTAAAACACCGGCCCAGTACTAAAACACTTGAAATCAGAGGTTTACATACAGTACACTCTAAAAAAAGAAACAAAACCATTTAAAAAAAAAAAATGTCTGATGGTAAATCATAATAAACATTCACTATTTTAGGTCCGTTAGGATTACCTAAATGATTTACATTTGCTAAATGCCAGAACAATGAAATAATTTTTTTGGAGAATTTTTATTGTTTCTAGACAGTCAAAAGTTTACATACATTCCCTTGGTATTTGTTTTAGCTTTGCTTTTAAACTTTGGTCAAATGTTTTGTGCATCCTTCCACAGGCTTCTCTCAATAGTTAGGGAATTTTGGCCCATTTCTCCTGGCAGAATTGGTGTAACTGAGTCAGATTTGTTGTCTTGCTCACACAAGGTTTTTTTTTTTTAACTCTGCCCCAACATTTTCTACAGGATTGAGTTCAGGGCTTTGTGGTGGCCACTCCAAAACATTCACTCTGATGTCCTTAAAGCACATTTTAACTAATTTGGCAGTGTGCTTAGGGTCATGGTCTGTTTGGAAGACCCATTTGAGGCCAAGTTTTAATTTCCTAGCTGATGTCTTGGGATGTTGCTTCAGTATTTCTAATGTTCTTTCTTCATGATGCCATCTATGCTGTGAAGTGGACCAGTCCCTCCTGTAGCAAAGAGCCCCACAACATGATGCTGCTGCCCTCATATGTCACAGTTGGGATGGTATTCCTAGGCTTGTAAGCTTTCCCCTTTGTCCTCCAAATGTAACACTAGTCATTATGGCTAAACAGTTTAATCTTAGTTCCATCAGAACACAGGACATGTCTCCAAAAATTATTATTTTTCCCAGTGTAATTTAGCAAATTGTAAACTGGCTTTTTGTTGATTCTGGCTTGTTGAATTTCCCATATTGTCACAAAAGGAAACAATCCTTAAATACTATTCTACAGTTGTGCCTCCAATTAAATTTTCAGAGGCATAATAATCCTATTGTATGTAAACTTGACTTTCAAGAAAAGTTATAACAATTTGTCAAGAAATATCTCTCTCATATCTGCTTTTCAGCATAACAGAACCAAATTTGATAATCCTAACTTACCTAAAAGAGAAAAAGTTTAGTCACATTAACATCTGACTATTTTAAAAGGTTATGTGCCTTTTTATAGAGTGTATGAAAACTTCTGGTTTCAACTGTGTATACTTTGCCAATTTGGTTTATTCAATTTACTTATAATGCATGACTTTGGACAGTGGGAGGAAATTGTAGCACCCTGGGGAAACCCACGTCATGTGCGTTTTGATTTGTCTGATTGGTTATCATATAGTATCTAATGCGAGACCAGCTGTGGCCAATCATAAGCATGTGATCCTCTCGAAAGTAGTTTACAAATAAACATCCCTTTGATAAATGAAATGGAAAAATTTAAATGACAAATATGAAGTCATGATTTGACATCTTGGCTATTGATAGTGGGTTCTGAGTGGTTGCTAAGTAGTTGCTAGGGTGTTCTTAATGTTTGCTAGGGTGGTCTAAGTGGTTGCTAGGCATTGCTAAAGTGTTTTGAGTGGTTGCTAAGATTGTTCTAAGCGGTTGCTAGGGTGTTCTGGGTGGTTCCTAAGGCATCGATAGGTGGTACCTAGGCAGTTGCTAAGGTGTTCTAGGTCGTTGCTAAGGTGTTGCTAAATGGTTGCTAGGGTGAGTAGTTGCTACGCGGTTGCTAAGGCATTGCAGGGTCATTGCTAAGGTGTGCTAGGTGGTTACTAAGATTTTCTAAGTCATTGCTAAGGTGTTTGCTAGGGTGTTCTGAGTGATTGCTAAGTGGTTGCTAAGGTGTTGCTAGGCGGTTGATAGGATGTTATGAGTGGTTGCTAAGGCATAGCTTCGTGGTTGCTTAGGTGTTGCTAGGCAGTTGCTAGGGTGTTTCTAAGCTGTTTCTAGGAGGTTAATTGCTAGGTGGTTGCTATTGTGTTGCGAGGCAGATGTTAAGGTGTTATGAGTATTTGCTAAGCAGTTGCTAATATAATTTAGCATGATTCTAATATGAATTAGCATGTTGCTAGCATAAATTAGCATGTTATTAGCATTGTTTTAGTATGGATTAGCATGTTGCTGGAATGTTTCCAGTATAAACTAGCATGTTGTTAGCATGAATTTAGTATGAATTAGCATGTTGTTAGTATGATAAGTATGTTTGTTAGCATGTATCCCCCTGCTAAAAAATCCAGCTTAAACCAGCCTAGGCTGGTTGGCTGGTTTTAGCTGGTCGACCAGGCTGGTTTTAGAGGGGTTTTGGCCATTTCCAGGCTGGTTTCCAGCCTTTTTCAGCCTGGTCTTAGCTGGTCAGGCTGGAAAATGACCAACTAAATCCAGCTAAAACCAGCTTGACCAGCCTGGTTTAAGCTGGACAAAGCTGGTTTTGGCTGGGCTCCCAGCCTGGCTAGGCTGGTCAAGCTGGTTTTAGCTGGTCATCTCCCAGCCTAACCAGCTAAGACCAGGCTGGAAATGGCTGGAAACCAGCCTGGAAGTGGCCAAAACCCCTCTAAAACCAGCCTTGTTGCCATCTGTGATTAGCAAATTGGTAGTCTGAGTTAAAGGAGCCAAACCTTAGGTCTATATGACAGTCTGGTGCAAAGTTATGAGGTCAGAAATTTTGGTCCAATGTTAAGTCTATGGGACATTTTAGAATTTTCCAGGACATTTTTCGGAAATTCGTAAGTCGGATCAGTGGGAAAAGATATAACGACCTAATTCAGTATAGTTCGGTGGTAAGAACAGTCTAGAAGGAGATGCATTCTTAAAATATAGTCTAAAAAGAAACAGAATTTTATGTAGTACAACAGTATGTTGGCTTTCTCAAGACAACATAATCTTAATTTAACATTTACTAAAGAATTATTAACATTTAAATGCATGCTTGTTAACATTAGTTCATGCACCAACTAACCATGAACGACTGTATTTTCATTAACTAATGTGAACAAATACTGTAATAAATGTATTGTTCATTGTTTGTTCATGTTATTAAATGCAACAACTAACATTAACTAATTTACACTTATTGTGTTACTGACTTTTTTGTCTTTTGATTATGAAATGCAGCAATGATAATCATACAAATCTTCTTCTAGAAGAATTTAAAACGATTCAACAACACTGAACAGTATTCACCTTGAAGGCCTCAGCATGCATGCCTGAACTCCTCAGCTTATTATTGCGGATGTCGATGTGCTTGAGGGAAGCTGGGAGTTCAGGAAGAGCCTGGATGTTGTTGTCAGCCATCATGAGATCCTGAAGTTGAAGCAGTGAACGAAAAGCATCCTCGTTCACTTTACCAATCTGGTTTCCACTAAGGTCGATCCGTTTTAACTGATCTGAGAACAGCATAAAGTAATAAACGGTTTGATCAAAGGCTCCATTCAAGTCCTAAACCTAGTATTAAATTTTTCTGGTATGTAGACAGATTTATTTAACCTTTTACTCGATTATCATTTGCTTGAATAATAAGAGTAAACTATTTAAACTGTAAACAAAGCATACAGTGTTTTTAAAAATCTGGTATACAATGATGTGTTTTTATTCCTCTCACAGTTCATCCATTGATTTAAAACAACAACAACAATAAAAACGTATTTAGAATGAACAAATTACTTACAGCAGATCACAAACAACCTCAAAAACATGAAACAAGTCTGTCCGCACATAACGTATATTGAATAGACTGTACTTTAGGGAATACTTAATAATCTGGAGGAGCAAACCACAGTGAACTCAAAAGAGCTTTGGCTATGCTTGTGATAGTCACGTTAAAAAAAACAGGCCTAACATTATTTTCATGACAGAACAAAATACAAAGAAAATGTGCCTCTTACTCAGTTTTTATTATGCACATGGATGATTGGTAGAAAGGCCTAACTATTTAAAATAATTAGTTTCAGTTCTTTTTAGATTCAAGTTCCTCAACCAGAAGTGCAACCCATTGTTTGAAATGCAGTATGTGCAGAAAAAAAAAAAAAACATTTTTATTTGGAAAAGCTTACTGAGATTGATGAAGTCTGCGGCTTTGATCTCTGTGATCTTGTTAAAGCGAGCGTAAAAGTGTGTGGTTTCTTTGGGAAGAGGGGGAATATGAGTCAGATCTGAGTCATCGCAGTAAACGCTGCCGCTGATACACACACACAGAAGGCATGTGGGCATCCCTGCTGGACAGAGGGAAAGAGAGCCGTGTTATGACATTTCACACCACTAGAAGGCGCAGGTTTCCTGGTTGAGATAGAAAAACACACCATCAGATTAAAAGTGCCCCTATTATGCTATATTAAAGGTTCCTTTTTTTATTTTGGATGTCTCCAACATTAGGTTTACATGCATTCAAGGTCACAAAACACCTTATTTCATCTATTGACAGGAGTATCTATATCCTGCCGCTAGACATTAAATGTAAATATGTACATAAGATGTAAGGTTATTCAATAATAAGCACTAGTGTCTACAAAGTAGTACATAATTAATAGGCATGGATATTTATGTACTAGTATTATAATAATATTTCAATTAAAGGTAAAGAGAAGTAAAGAAGTAAATCAGAAAAATAATTTTCAATTAATCAATCAATCAATCGTCAAAATTCTAAGGAGTACCAACTAAAAAGAAAGAAAATAATAGTAGTATTTAATAGGAAGAAAATAGGTATTAAATCTGTATCAATATCTAATCATTGATGAATACTATTGCTTGAAAATGATTTACGAGTGTCTATTTAATAGGTACTGCTACTACTATACGTATATCGAAAAATTATGACGTCATGAAATTCTGTGTAGTAATGTAAGTACAACATATTACTAGTACTAGTAGCTAATGAATAAGTACTATTACCCAGTGGAAAAATATAAATAGTTAAAAATAAGTATTGGTAGCATGAGTATATACACTCACTGACCATCTTATTAGGTACACCTTACTAGTATGGGTTGGACCCCCTTTTGCCTTCAGAACTCCCTTAATCCCTTGTGGCATAGATTCAACAAAGAGATTTTGGTCCATATTGATATGATAGCATCACGCAGTTACTGAAGATTTGTCGGCTGCACATTCATGATGCGACTCTCCCGTTCCACCACATCCCAAAGGTGCCCTCTTGGATTAGGATCTGGTGACTGTGGAGGCCATTTGAGTACACACTGTCATGTACAAGAAACCAGTTCTTAGCTGACAGGAGTGACTGTGTTCTTCCGCTTCTGTAGCCCATCCGCCTCAAGGTTGGACATGTTGTGCATTCAGAGATTCTCTTCTGCATACCTCGTTTGTAATGAGTGGTTATTTGAGTTACTGTTGCTTTTCAATCAACTCCAACCAGTCTAGCCATTCTCCTCTGACCTCTGGCATCAACAAGGCATTTGCGTCCACACAACTGCCACTAACTGGATATTTTCTCTTTTTCAAACCATTCTCTGTAATCTCTAGAGGTGGTTGTGCGTGAAAATCTCAGTAGATCAGCAGTTTCTGAAATACTCAGACCAGCCCCTTCTGGCTCTTAAGTCACTTAAAGTGGCCAGTGAGTGTATATACTGTTATATTTTATAAATTACATTTTTAAAGGCTTGCCATATTTGTCTGTATAAGGTAAAATGGCAGAGTTTATCCATTTGTCTTGATGATTGGTCTATTGACGGCAGTGCTGTATTATATGCTCTATGCAAAATTAATATCAGAAAAAGTTTAATAGGGGCAGTTTAACACTTTTAAATGCAATGATCCATCTACCTAAGCCTGTGTCAGGTCCAAACAGGCCTGGTGCTTTGAAGTCTAGAGTTGAAGGAACAGGTGATTTCGTGGGACGAGGTGGCAGAGTCATTTCCTCCACATAGTTTTCAGGAACAACCACAGCAGGTGGAGGAGTGAGAGCTGTAGGAGGAGCTACTGTCTCAACCTTAAACAGTATGAAGATGGACGAAAACAGAATATTAAAAGTTTATAGTGACTCTACTAGTAATATGTCTTTGCAAAATTAAATAAAATCAAACAAAATATAAATTACATTTCATTGTTTTTACAAATATTGAGCACCACGTTAATGTTAGTTCAGGCTGATGCTCAGCTGTTTATAATGTGTACCAGTTTGGTTCTGACATCTATCACACCAGTCTATTTAACACTCTTCAGTGCTTGGCGGCACGTCAATTCAACCATCCTCCACTTCTCCTAGATCATATCTGTTATAAGATTCAGGTATTTTGTCCAAGTATGTATACATCCCATATAGCAAAATATCTCTGGCACTGCTCTGGCCCAAACAATCAGCTTTTGCTTGGCCCACATGCAGCAGTGAATTACAGTAAATGACTAGACCAAGTCTGGCTTTTAGACAAGGATCAAATACGGACCATATCTGGGCCAAGTCTTAGCCAAGTTAATAACCCATAACTGAGCCTGAACTGGGCCAGATATGTTGGTGTGTCATGACTTCAATGAAATTGATAAACCCATGAATCATTGCACTTTAAGCGTGCTATGGGCTTGATTTTTTTTTTCAACGACCTAATTGGTAGAATTTCTTTCTTTATTTGAAAATAATAAAAATGTATTTTAAATGTGGGTCAAGATGGCCAAACTTACATGGCCCACACATCAATTATTAACATCTGGGCCAAATACTACAATTGACATCTGGCCCGAGTATTGTGTGACGCCTTAAAGACTATGCCACCTCTGCCAAACCTGGGCCATGTTTAGCCCACATGCTATATGCCAGTGCCAGATTAATGCCTGCTGTGCCAGATTTCTGCCAAATCTGGGCCAGAGATCTTTGCTACCTGGAATGGTAATCAGCAAATCTTTGGTGTTATTAATTAATTATTTTTATTAATAATATAATTATTTTTATTAACTAATAATTAATTATTAGTTATTAATTTTAGCTGTTTATGCATGGTTTCTGGTTCTGTTCTTTTAGGGGTCTGATTTGATGCTGCACTTCTTGTATGCTTAGCTGCATGGACGAACGTGGATTTTCCTTAGAACAAAACCAAACCACCAATTTAACTGCATAAAGGGGTAGTTCACTCAAAAATTACAATTCTTTCATCATTTACTCGTGCATCAATTGATCCAAACCTGTCAAATCAAAACAGGGATCAAACCTGATCCAAACTAGTTTATTTCTTCTGTCAAACACAAAAGAAGATGTTTTTAAGAAGGCCTGAAATCTGTTACCATTGACTTCCATAGGATTTGTTTTATATGGAAGTCTTACAGGTTTTCAGCTTTTTTTTTTTCCACAGTATCTTCTTTCGTATTCAGCAAAAATAATGAAACTCATAAAGATTTGGAACCACTCAAGGGTAAGTAAATGAGTAAACAATGGGTAAATGTTGATTTTCTTGGTGAACTATCATCCATTAGATTAAAAGTATCTCATCAAGATTAAAGGGCCATGGAAGAAATCATGAGTTCACAGTTTAGAAACTTGTACAAATGGTTTTTGGATGAAAAACTTTCTTTACACATAGGTAAAACAGAGGCTATTTCATTTGCTTCAAGAGTGAACTTTAAGAAAGATTATTCTTTATTGGTTAGGATTAATGATTTGATTTTTGAGCGAAAAAAATTTGTAAATTATCTGGGATGTTTAATAGGAGATGTTATGGCAAGAAAGGTTTAGAGAAAAAAAATTGCAAAGGGCACAAAATAAATGAATATGGATAATTTAAAAAATAAATAATCCTTAAGCACATTTGCACAGAGTTGACAGTTTTATTTCAAAATGTATGGGATACTTGTATTTTTGTACAGTTTGTCTAAAATCTGTCAAATAAAAATTCAATTCAATTCTATTGTAATATCATACTATTTTAAAAGTTCCTAGTTTGTCCCATGAATATTTAATAAGCAGTTATTAGATGCTCTGTTTATTTTTCCCTCAACTTCAGCTTAACAGAGAGATTTTTTTCAACACATTTCTTATCATTATAGTTTTAATAACTCATTTCTAAAAACTGATTTATTTTATATTTGCCATGATGACAGTAAATAATATTGTACTAGATATTTTTCAAGACACTTCTATAAAGTGACACTTAAAGGCTTAACTAATTAGGTTAACTAGGCAGGATATGGTTAGGCAAGTTATTGTGGTTGGTTTGTTCTGTAGACTATCAAAAAAAATAGCCAGAAAGGGCTAATAATATTGACCTTAAATGGTTTTTAAAAAAATAAAAGCTGCTTTTACTCTAGCCAAAATAAAATTAAAAAGACTCTCTAGAAAAAAAAAATGTTATCAGACATACTGTGAAAATTTCCTCGCTCTGTTAAACATCATTTGGAAAGTATTTTAAAAAGAAAAAAAAGATTTATAATTCCGATGTCAACTGTATTTATTCACAACTGGAAAAAAGTCAAAACTGAATAGTTATTTCATTGAAAGGTCAACATAGACGTAAATCAGAGAAAAATATTTTCAATCAATCAATCAATCCTCAAAATTCTAATTAGTAATATAAAGAAAATAATAGTAGTATTTAATCGGAACAAAAATATCAAATTATTAAATAAGTGCCACTCGAGGGTGAGTAAAATAATGAGTAAATGTTTATCTATGGATGAACTACCTCTTTAATATTTAATGTTGCTGTTGTAGTTTTTTGATTAAAGTAATTCTGACTGAAATATTATACTTATTTCAAGCTATTTGAATACATACATTTTAAATAGTTATTATGACTAAATATTTTTGTACAATTAATCTTATCATTTTATAATTATAATTTTATTATGCAATAATATATTTTTCTCTCAAGTTAAAAATTTAATAAATCTTTAGTATGCAATATATTTCAAATAAAGAAAGGAAGGGAACTCTCAAAGCAGCTGCAGAGAATTAATTCATTTGTTTTCTCTTCAAAAGTTTAATCGATTAAAATAAATATTGATTTATCATCCAGTGGTAGACCTCGTAGACCATATAAATCAAATGGATTACTTTTATAGCATTCATTTCCCTTTACTGTAGAAAGAAAAGTTTTACTTAACTATTAGAATTACTGCTTCTGACACATACAGGAAAGAAAATCATTCAGGTATGATGATAAAGTGACACTGACAAAATGAAACCTCTCGTGAAAGCTCACCTCCTCATGCTCATCATCATAATTATAGTGCAGATCCCATGAGTCTGGGTCATCATAATTCTCCAGGCCAAATGCTTCAAGATCCAAATCAGTTGGAGGGGCACCAAGACTGAAGCCCAGAAGAATCCAAACAAGATACAGCAACATCTATAGGAGATAAAATAAAGGGTATTTTCAGACTGCTTTGTAATTAGACACCAATTATGGATTTAACATCACCAAGTGTCAAGTTAATCCGTTCTATGCCATTTTCTGCTCCAACTTTCTAATTAGCTGAAAGACTGTGCTTCTTTTTGAGGTTATGGCACCGTCCACTCTTCCCCCTTCCCGAGGGGTTTTATAACAGTCTGCAGGAGCTCTTTGTCTGCAGCCACAGATGCCTGTCAAACCTCTGTTTGTTTAACCTTTAAGGGCACTTCTTTCCGGCTGCTGAGACATGTACGTAGAACCATAATAGCTACAAACTTCACATATAATGACAGAGTGATGGTTAAACACTTTAGACCCTCCATGTGTTTAAAAACATAAATACATCAGTTTTTGTGTGCTTAGCTATGGTAATCTATCATCTAGTTGTATGGATGTGGAACATGGAAAGAGGCTGTTAGCAGATGCAAAGCCAAAACATGAGTTTTCTACACAGAGAAATGGAAAAAAGTTAGAGACAACAAATTTTTTTTAAATGTATGAATTTGGTTTGATGACACTACTGATTTCTTGTCAATTTTAAATGAAAACATGTTGTAAACTAAGCATTAAATAAAAACAGTTAAGAAATCAACATTTGATGGAATTATACCTTGATTTTCAAAAATGAAACAGATGTTATTCTGGCCAATCTCTCTCCCTCACTCTCTCATTACTTTAATACAATTGCAATCTATTATTTTACTCCGGCATATTACTGTAAAAAATTAATTATAAAACTTATACTTTTAAATAAGTTAGCTTGTCAGTCTGTGATAGTTCACCCAGAAAAAAATATAATAATTTACTCACAATTTACTAAACCTCAAGGGGTTCCAAACCTTCAGGAGTTTCTTTGTTCATTTTAGCACAAAATAAGATATTTTAAAGGTTGTTTGAAAACTTTAACTATTGACTTCAATAATAGGGAAAAAAACTTATTATTGAAAAAAGCTAATTATTGCAGGTTTCCAACATTTTTCAAAACATTTTTTTTTGTTTTGTTCAACAGATCAAAGAAATTTAAATTGTGACAAGTGAAGGGTGAGTAATTTTCAGTTTTGGGTGAACTATCCCTTTAAGTATACAGTGCTCAGCATGAGCACACCACATTTTAAAAATTAATATTTTTATCAATTTCTCAATGAATATAAACAATGTGTTTTGGTGCATTTAAACAAAACAGATTTATTAAACAGATATATTTATTAAAATAATATTTTAGTCACCAATAATATAAATATGAAATTTGTAAGATAATACAATTAAATTCATTCAAAAATATTGCAAAAAGAACCAACAGAATTTTTATTTATTTATTTATTGCTTCTCTTGATTTTTTCTCTTTTTAAAATTTGTATTTAAAAATTTTCTTTACCATATACATTTGGGTGTACTAGTTTTAAGACCGTTACCGTACGTTATTTTGTTAGATAATCTCCAGATTTGGCTTCAGTACTGACTAATCTGGTATATGCACAACTATAATATTGTATCCTATTAAAAATATTAATTTAAAAGATAGATTTGTGAGGGGTGAGCACTGTAATTTAGAATATATCTCTAACACCTCCGTGTTGATAACCTAACAAATGTAGATTTTTAAATTAGATTTGATTCAATTTTTTTGTCATTACACATGTACAAATACAATGCAAGGAAATGCAGTTTAGGTCTAACCAGCAGTGCAATAACAGCAAATGCAGGATACAGGTATAAGTTATAAATGCATTTATAGTAAAACTATGATGATATTTACAGATGGATGTACTATGAACATTATATACAGGTTGTATTAGCTATGAACAGAGATTTACAATAAATGAATATATGTACAGTTTGCTATTAATAATCAGTAGTTTGCAGATAGATAAACATAATTTAAAATGTATATGTACAGTTGGTGTGTACATAATTACAAATGTCCATGTGCAGTGGGTATGTACATTTCAAATGAGGGAATCAGTGCAATGAATATGTGCAATTATAAATGTGCAAATGTTAAACAGTGCAGTGATTTTGAGGAGTATCTAACATGATAAATCCAAATCACATGTAATCCTCTGATCTAATGTAACCCAGATTGACTCATGTTTTTTTTCACACTTGTTTCCCAAACAGTTCAAATTTAAAACATTTATATTCAAAGCTCCCCTGGGTCTCTTCAGTTATTCAGCTTAACCTGTTCTTAAAGTGTTCACAATTAAACCAAGAGACCAAAGAGTCTTCACTCAGCAGGAAGGAGGCCTACCTTTGATGTTTGTCTTTGAATCACCATAGCCCAAAAGCAGCTCTTGCGGGAAAAGAGGTGTGGAAGCTGGCCTTGTGTTCTCCTGAGGATTGAGTATTGAATCTAACCCAAGATTGGGAAGGCGGTCAGGTTAGGTGAGGGGGAGAGCTGTGGGAGCTCAGCTGGGGGATGGCCAGGTCAGTTTGCTCAGCTGTCACTAATTCTACAGCCTTGTCAATGGTGAAGTATCAGTTTGGTTTGGTAATTTACCGCTTCTTACCAGCAGGATGTTTTTCAGACGTGTTTCCCTAGAGAGATGCAAAGTTTCTTCTTCTTTTTGTTTTAAATTGCACTGCGTTTACTGACATTTTTGTCATTCCAGAACACAGTTCTGGTCTGGTCATTTACGACTCCTTACCAGCAGGTTGTGCTTTTTAAGGCGTTTGTCCTTTTTTTTATCTTGTATTTTGTTTAGTTACATTTTGGCATCTCAGAAAACTATTTTAATTTGACAATTTACATTTCTTACCAGTGGCTTGTGGTTTTTGCACTACAATAATGACATTTTTCAACCAATCACTCATTTTTAATATGTGATTCTGTCCTTATGTTCCTGCAAAATGGCAATTTATAGCTGAAATGACTAGAAGGCAGCAAAATACTAACCACAGAGTTTAAGCAAACTGAGAAAACATTTTCCTTTCAATTTGACAACAAAAGCACACACAAATTCTCACGAACAGATGAAACACGCTGCAAATAGTGCAGATAACAGAAATTGTCAGGGGACCATAAAAAGTGATAAACCCTACAAATCTGCTTCCTGGTCATTGGTTTTCAGCAGTGTTCAGTTCAGTAGTCTGACATGCTTGTCTTCTAACTTACAGTTGTTCTGAGAGTAATTGTTATTAACATCACATTAAAATAACATTTTATTGTGCAATTCTTCATATTATTACAGCTGAAAATAAACAAAAAAAGGAAGCAAACATGAGTGCAGCGCTCGAGCTTAAGCTGATAACATATAGAGCTATCTGACATGTAGTAATGCTGACGAGTTAACAAAATGTGGTATTTGAAGATCGTTATGAACAATGTGTGTATATATACGTCCAGTAAAGTACATATGAAGTGTGTATATAGCCTATGTGATTTAATGTTAAAGATGTTTTATTAATTGATGTTTGCCTTGTGTTTTGCAAGGCTGGGTTTTTTGTGTGAGTTAAGCATCTGTGACGAGTCCCTGCTTCAAGATGAAATTAAGGAAAAAACATTTCACCTGTTGGTCTGTGTGTTTATTACCTGGCAATGCTATCTTATGGCAGTTCATAACATTATGATTCAGTGGCTACTTCGTGTAAAATCATTTGTTCAATTGTTTAATTTGCTTATTCCCCAATGATGGTTGGGTTTAGGGGTGAGGTCGGGTGCCACCCCTCTTTTAAAAGACTGTGGCTGAACTCGAATTAGTCACTAAACTGAAAAATTAAAAACAATTATATTTTCTTGTGAGATCAGGCTGGACATGGATGTTAAAATAATCTCCGGCAATTCATCAACTGATGGCAGCCAGGTTTGTCAATTTTTAGGGTCCCCCGACAACTTCCGTTGTGGTCTGCTATATGAGCGATTTTGTGTAAGTGATATTTTGTGTGCATGTGTGTTGTCAAACTGAGATGTTTTCTCAATTTGTTAGTAATTTACTTTTTGAATGTGTTTTCTTCGGTCAATGTATTTTTTCAAAACATGAATAAGCGGATTCCTGCAAATAAGCTATATTTTAGTTCAGTTGTTTGCACAATACTATGTAAAAATCTAATTGCACTTAAACAAGTAAGATTTCATCACATGTTCATACATTTGTTTTCCTTCAGCTTAGTCCCTTTATTCATTAGGGGTTGCCACAGCGGAATGAACCGTCAACTTATCTTGCATATGTTTTACACAGCGGATGCCCTTCCAGCTGCTACCCAGTACTGGGAAACATCCATACACATGTGTTACGGAGGCCAGCCAGTAGGTGCTGTGCAGGTAAACCTCACTCCTCTGACTTCTGAGGGTGCTCTAGCGATATATGCTAGAGGCCATGGTCTTTAGCCTCCTTGTTAGAGCAACCGACCCCCAAGCGGAAGATCGCCGGTTCGATCCCAGCTCGGAGCGCGTTGTGTGGTGTAGGACCGGTGGGGTTACACATGCACACTCATACACTACGGCCACTTTAGTTTATTCAACTCACCTATAGTGCATGTCTTTGGACTGTGGGGGAAACCCATACCAACATAGGGAGAACACCAGTTGGTGTGGGTTTCCTCCGGGTGCTCAGGTTTCCCCCACAAGTGCAACAATATTTGGTACAGGTGAATTGGGTAGGCTATATTTCCCATAGTGTTTGTGTGTGAATGAGTGTGTAAAGATGTTTCCCAGTGATGGGTTGCAGCTGAAAGGGCATCAGCTGCTTAAAAACATATGCTTGATAAGTTGGTGGTTCATTCGGCTGTGGTGACTCCAGATTAATAAATAAATAAATAAATAAATAAATAAATAATGAACAAAACAATAGGGGTGGGAAAAAACATTGATATGCCAATATATCGTGATATATTTGACCGTGATACATCATCGATACTCTGTCTCCAAGTATCCATATTTTTCCTAAATGCACAAAAACCCAAAAGATCTAAATTAATTAAACAGACATACACACAGTTTACCACTTTGGCTGCAGTACACACATCTGCCACCAAGTAATGGTATCCAGTAATGGCGGATCAACAATACGTCAGAGAAGCACCAGCGCCATTTAAAACCACTGACAGATGAGCCATTGTAATGGTGAAAATCTCGGGCATATGGATATCTTGTCTGTCCAGGCTGGACCGAGGTATTTGTGTTTCAAACATCACAACTCACTCTAATTTTCAACTTGTTTTTTCCCTCACAGACAAGCTTTCACTTCGCTAGATCGCTCGCCTGTGCCCGCGGTCAGTGCTGCGAGATTTACAGGATTATGTTCTCAAAATATTTCATTCCCCAAGATGTCAATAGGATATGAACATATAATCTGAAGGGCTTTGCGTTTATTTAATCATTAAAGACCTTGGAAAAGTCCTGTAAGATGATTTTGTTGAATATATTATATAAGGATATTAGAAGGCTAAAAATATAGCCTAAGGGAAATAAAAAAACTGTTAAAAATTCCTTTTTTTATTTGATGACAAAATAACTAATGTTCTCCACTGCTGGAGACACTATAAGTGCTCAAAGGAGTCTGTGTTCACCTCTCTGAGCAATCTGATCAGTTACTGTTCTTGAAGAAAATATTTTAATCTAGTGGGAATGCATGATTTTGGCTGATTAATAAAAATAAAGCAAACATAAATGCATAAAATGCATTAAATAAGTTGTCAATGTTGTATTAAGTGTCTTAAGTTTACAGAACTTATTTATTATGGCAGTGTTTTCTTAAATGTAGGCTATATTCCACAAAATGGACATTCTGCTGCTATGACTAATTTAGAGATGTGCCCTTTCAGTCACAAACGTCTCTCTGCACGTCTTGTTTGACAGCTTATAACTCTTGTTTTACACTGTTCTGATTCTATAAAGCATGTGCTGTTAATTTAATAACTTTTTGATGCATTTTTTCTCATTCCTTTACAAATATTGTGATAAATCATGGATGGTTTTCTTGTGTTATATCGATATATTGAAGAATCGTAGTGATATATCAATATCAGGGGTAAATATTGTGATAATATTGTATTATGAGTTAACGAGATTCCCACCCCTATAAAACCCACAAGAGATAATTTCTGGTTTTGCCAGAATCAGATGTTAAGAATGAGCCTGTAGGATGTTTTTAGCATTCCTGAGCAAAATTCTGATTTAGTGGGTTTCAGATGTGTGTCCTAGCAATATGTGAGGTTTCTCTCTCTCTCTCTCTCTCTCTCTCTCTCTCTCTCTCTCTCTCTCTCTCTCTCTCTCTCTCTCTCTCTCTCTCTCTATCTCTCTTTTTGTACTATATTTAATGATGTTTTTGATTTCAACACATCTGTTTGTTAGTTTTTTTCCCCAGCAGGTTGTCGTTTTCAGACATATGTGTCCTAGTCATTTTCAGGTTTTCTCTTTTTAAAATGTTTTTTTAATTACATAATGACTTTTTGCATTTCCAGGAAGCAGTGGTTTAGAATAATCAGCCCATCTTTGTTGTTGCCAATGCATTCAAGGAATTTAATTCTTAGAGTTCATAATATAATAGTGGCAGGGAAAAATTCGGGTTGTAATAGTTTGACTCGATTTGCTGAAGTCACAAAACTGATTGTAACCCTTTAAAGTCAGATTAAACTAATGCACCTAATGTTATTTCATGGTGTGTTGAGCAGGTCAGTGAGGTCAGCTGTTTGTGATTTGACTCAGACCGACATCCAATAGCAAACCTACTGATCGACCTTTGACTTTGTCTGATTTTTTACTGGCGTCTGCATGGCAAGGCCCAAAATAGACACTCATTCCTGCTTCATTGCTTTTCTTTCAGAGGTCTTACATCACTTCTGAATTAGCAACCATGTTTCGGAGATCAAACTTTCCACTGCTAAATTCTTTGTGCAGATAACGACAAGCTGAGACTAAACCAATAAATAACCAGAAAGGAAGTGCATAAAACTTTATGGTATCTCTCTTATAATGAGGAAAATGTTGTTGGTTTTTTTTCAGCACAAAAGTTTTTTTTTTTTTTAATGCTTTTAGTGTTTTAGTTCATCCAAAATGCAATAGAAAATAAAAGTGCGAAAAAACAACAACAAAAAAAATCTGGAAACATTATTGTTGTTTTGCTGCTTAATATTTTTGAGCAGACCATATTTGGTAGAAAGTTAAAAAAAAAAAAAAAACACTGCACTGTGTAAAGAAATCTTTTGTGAGATTATAAATGTCTTTGCTGTCAGATTAACTCAGTTTAATATATTCTTTCTGAACAAATTCAGGGGGAAAAAAATTAGGCTAGAATGGTCACATTTTTCCAGATAGAATTTGAACTATGGATAAATGCATAACAGATTGTTGAATATTGAACAAATTAATGGATTTGTGTGCATTCCAATACAAAAAATAAATAAATTAAAAATTAAAAATCCATAAAT